ACTAGTTGTTCTTGTAGAAGATCTGGGTTCGAATCCCAGCACCCACATGGCAGCTAACAACTGTCTGTAACTCCAGTCCCAGAGGATCCGACAGCCTCTTCTGACCTCTGGGGGCATTGCATGACATGGGTGTACTTACCTACATGCAGGCAATACATGCATACACACAAAATTAAAAATAATAATAATAACAAAAAAGACTTATTCTCCAAATGCTGGGATTACAGGTGTGGACTGCCATACCTGGCTGAAATCTGCTGTTAATCTTCCTTGATGCCCATTCAATTCGTTTCTTGAGTTAAATTACTGGACATGTGTTATTGGAGTTGTATTTTCTTCAGTGGAAATCCACATGTTACAGAGCTCCTCTTTGCCTGCCACTACTAACCTAACTTAAAAATGACAAAGCATTTTCAGGTTAAAAAGCTCATCAAATCCTGACTGCCCTAGCCAAGAACCAAGCATTTATACATGTCACGCTATTGCCACCTGCTGGCTGTGTTGCCTAAGCACAGCAAACAAATGCTTAAAACAGAAATTATAAACTGTGGGGGCTCACACTTGAAATCCTGGCAGTCGGGGAGGCTGAGGCAGGAGTGTCATGAGTTTGAAGACAGCCTGAGTTATGTAGTGAGTACTAGGTCAACCTGAGGTAAAGTGTAAGACTTTGTCTCAAAACTAAGTAAATAAATAATTAATTCAATAAACCAGAAAACTAAAAATTTACTTTCTTTAGCTTAAGTTTTCTTTCAAAATTACCCCACAGAAAAGCAGCTAGCATACCATATCTTTAAAAAATCTCACATTAGAAGCAGCTGTTCTTCATCCTGGCTGCACTTTTAAAAATCCTAACACCCAGACCTCTCCAAGCCAGGAATTAAATTGGGATATTTAAGATATGAAAAAATAAAATATTTGCAAAGTGTTTAACTGACAGGAGATGACTGCAGGAGCGGACAGTTTTGAGGCTAGGGAAGGGCAGGCCTCAGAAGGAGCGTGGTACCACCTGAGCTTCAGACCGCTAGCCTCCAAAACTGTGAACCAAACTTGTCATTTTTAGCCATCCAATTTGCAGTGATTTGTTAGCGCAGTCCTGGGAAACCAATACAGAAGCAAAAAGTACCAAGACTTGTACAAGAATATTTTTAAAATTTTATTTTACTTATTAGTTTGTGTATGTATGCACATATGTGTACATGAGTACAGGCATGTGAAAGTCAGAAGACAACTTTCAGAATTCAGTTTTTAACTTCCACTACGGGTTCTAAGTATTGAACTCAGGTTGTCAGGCTTGCATGAGAAGCATTTTTACTTGCTGAGCTATTTCACCAGTCCAAAAATATTCTTTTTTTTTTTTTTCTTTTTTCTTTTCTTAGGCTACATGGTAGGTACTATGGAGCCTTGACTGAATTTTAACTTGCTATGGAGCCAGACCTCAAACTTACAGAGATCTACTTGCCTCTGCCTCCCGGGTGCGGGGATTAAAGGTGTTCACACCATGCCTGACATCCAAGAATATTAATAGCTGTATTTATAATAAGCTAGTTATTTATAATAAACTAGAAAATGTCCATACACAAACAAATGAATTTAAAAATTGTGGCATACCCATATTCAGCAATAAAAATAAGAGAATGGATCAAGACACAAAACGGGATGAAATCTCAAAATAATTATGCTAAGTAGAAGAGGACTGATCTCCACACTCCTAAAAAGAAAGAATCCCAGGGGGACAGAAGAAAAGAAGGGAGTGAGAGTTCACCCATGCTGACACCCAGGTCTAAATGCACACACCTTTCTTTCCTCCCTGATAGCTGCAAATATCAAATGTGGATTTCTTTTTGTCTCCCACAATGCCCCAAAGCTGAGCAGCTCCTTCTCTGGCCTGACTTAGGCCTTCATTCCCTCTTCATCCCACATGTCGGGATACTCAGCAGCCTCCTGACTAGCTTCTAGTCTTTCAATTGTATCCCTCTCAACTCTTCCTCTTACCCAGATGCCAAATTCAGGACAGACCAAGGAGAGCACAGGGGCCTCCCCTCATCCCACTGCTCCTTTAAACTCATTACTTCTTCATCCCCCATGTCAATGGAAGTTTCTGATATTCACCTATATCAGGAGTTGGCAAACATTTTCTGTAAAGGGTCAAATGGTAACCTAAATTTGGGCTTTGCAGGCCACATGGTTCTTTGTATCTACTCAATTCTCAGGAAAGCAGTCCTGAAGAGTACATAATAAATATGTCTGTGTGCTAACACAATTTTGCTTAAAAACAAGTAGTGGTCTGAATTTGGTGTGCAAGCCAGAGTTTGCTGACCCTTCAACTATATCGTTCTGCACCCCTCTTCTTTGCTATGTGTTGTCCCAGACACCTCCAAGTTGATAAAGAATTTGGTGTTTTGGGGCTGGAGTGTTGGCTCAGTGGTTAAGAGCACTAGCTGCTCTTACAGAGGACCTGGGTTTGGTTCTCAGCACCTACATGGCAGCTAACAACCATCCATAACTCCAGTTCCAGAGGATTCAATGCCCTCTTCTGGTCTCCACAGACACTGCACACATGTGTTGCACTTACATACATGCAGGCAAAACACTGGTACACAGAAAATAAATTTTAAAAATTAAAACAAAAACAGAAATGTATGCCTCGGTTTTCATTAGCAACCTGGGTAGTAAAGCACAACGCCAGCACATGACAAGCATTTCATAGATGTGGTTGAAACTATTACTTTAAAATATTATCATACAGGGATAGAGAAACTGTGAAAAGGGGGAAGGAGGGAGGGATGGAGGGAGAGAAGGAAAGAGGGAGGAAAAGAAGAGGGAAGGGAGGAAAGAGATAGATTATCATATAGGGCTAGGGGCAGAGCTCAATGGTAGGGTGCTTGCCCAACATGCAGAAGGCCCTGGGTTTGATCCCTAGAACTGAAAGAAAGTAGATAAATAAAAACAAAATAAAACTTATCTATGGGCACTCTCAATATCTCTGTGTATAAGCCACTGGCATTTTAGGCTGTAAGTTTCTGCATCTGCTCAATTCCACCCTGGCCCTTGTCAGCACTGGCACTCCACAGCACTCTAGCTCTCAAATTCAACTCTAACACAACACTGATGGAAACCTGATTGCCCTTTACGCTCGCTCTTCAACTTCAACAAGCTCCCTCTCCACTTTTATCTCTATTGTCTCCAAATCTGTGAGCTCCGACCCATCCTCATTTCCTTCCTTAATAACTTTGATCTCATGATCCACTATCGAGCCACCCTCTCACCTATACTCTCAACTCTTATTTTCCCCTTTCCCTCAGCTGTATGAGGCCAGCAAAATCCTGCACCATCAAATTCATCATCTCTTCTGTTCCTATGACTAAATGGCCTGAGATTGCTAAAGATGGCTTATCATGACAGATCAATGTCAAACACACCCTCCAACCTCAGTTAGGGCACCATAGCAATACTTTGCTCCATCCTTACACAAACAGTCCAAATTTCCAAAACGTTTACCTCTTCAAATTCCCTAAGGCTGACATACTTTTTCTTACTTTTAAGGACTAATTTGATTCCTGCAATTCAGAGAAATTAGAAGTCTGAACAAAAGCACTAAGATCTTTATCCCAACTGCACACTTAACCTACCCATTATCCTGAATTCCTTCCCTACAGGCCCCGAATGAGTTGGCTTCACTTCTATTCGCCAGAAGCGCTCTAAATCCATTTCTGTCTCCATTGCCTTGCACAAACGAAATCCTGAATCAATCCAGCCATGTACCCTTGCTACACTCTAACATAGCTACTCTGTGATAGGAGCCAACCTGTTTCTATAGTCAGTTCCAGGTCAGTTATGGCTAGAGACCCTGTCTCAAAAAAAAAAAACAAAAAACAAAAAACAAAACATGAAACTGTTACCACAGTAGAACGTATTTGCCGTCACTTGAATCTGTATTCCCAGACAATGGTCACTCATATTTTGCTCCAGAATTTAAAAATATTCTTTTTTGCATTAATAGCAATTTTTAAATCTATATTGTACAGGGGCTGGAGAAATGGCTTAGTGGTTAAGAGCACTGGCTGCTGTTGGACAGGACCTGAGTTTGGTTCCCAGCATCTACATGACAGTTAACAACTGTCTATAACTCTAGTTCCAGGAATCTTGTGCCCTCTTCTGGCCTCTGCAGGCATTGCATGCACATAGTGCACTTAAATACATGCAAGCAATACACTCATACACATAAAATTAAAAGAAAAATAAAAATTAAAAATATATTGTAACTATTATAATAGCTTAAATATATACTGTAATTATTGTAACTGTTTAAGCCTCTTTTACCATACGAATAAGGAAGAACTGGGGGAAATATACCAGTTATGAGCAAAGGAAGAAATAACATCCTAAACCTTTATGAATATAATCAATTGTTCTGTGAATTGTGCTGATTAAATACATAAAACTTTTTTGTTTTTTGTTCCAGAAATAGGGATCATATTCATGATGCTAAAAGCATTGGGTAAAAAGTTTTAAGTTAACGGGTAGTATGATGTCAGCATGGTCTTTGGAATAGTACCTCACAGATTATTAATCACAAAGGGATGAAAATGCACCTTTACATGGAGAGATTACTCCATTAATCAAGTGATTTACCATCAGAAAGCAGAGCTGGTTGCTTAGTGGTAGAGTGCTTGCCTAACACGTGCAGGGGTTACATATATGCATCAGCAGGCCTGGCTTTTCTATGGCTGTTGGGGATCTGTGCTCAGGTTCTCATGCTGGTACTAGATCCACTGAACCATCCCCTCAGTGCCCATGAATAGTTTCAAAGGAACACTGCCACACTCATTCACTTACATACTGTCCAGCACTGTGTTACCTAAACAATAGAATCAAAAAGTTACAAGAGACTGTATGGCCAGAAAGCCTAAAATATTTACCATCTGTCATTTACAGGAAAAACTGCTGGCCTCTGCTCTAGACAAGCAATCTAAGAGTACAATAAAGCCTGTCAGCCTCACCTGAGGTGTCGTCTTTCTATACTGGTCACCACCATCTATCACCTCGCTCATGACTTTTTCTTTGAGGAATCTATATTCTTCTGGACTCAGATGAATAGGTTCGATGGCTTTGCCACAACTGGAACACTGGCCACTGTAATTGCAGTGCTTTATATTAAATGATGTCCGCGAAAGGAACTTTTCTAAACTGAATTCATTTTAAGGCACAAGGAAACAAATGCAGTATGAAAGAATGTTTGCGCTTTTGTGATTTTTCATAAACCTGAAAATACCATCTATTAATATGCCAGAAAACCCAGAAGAGTGGACTGCTAGGCACCTAGATGAACTTTTTTTTCTTCTGGGGTGTTTCATTTATATGTCTACTTTATATTCCCAGAAGAATCCCAGGGGCCAACAAGATGGCTTGGTGGGTAGAGGGGCCTTCTGCCAAGCATGATACCTGAGTTCAATCCCCAGGACATACATGGTGGAAGGAAAGAACTGACTCCTTCAAGTTGTCTGCTGACCTCCACATGTGTCATGGCACAGACATGCACACATACCCACACACAAAATTAAATAAATTTAAAAAGCTTTTTGGAAAGGAAAAGAATTCTATGATTTCCTTTCTGTGTTTCCATCCTACTTCATAGCTCATGATGGCTATCAGCACAGTGAAAGCAAACTGACAGGATGGGAGCAGATGACTCTGCTCTTGCAGGTTCAAATCTGGGGCTGATCATTCCATGCTTCGTTAACCTGCCTGTGAGCATCTCAACAATTTTCCCAGCTCTGCGATCATCAAGGATTTCAAATCTACCAATGTAACCACGCTTCATCATCACAGAAACCAGACAATGACTTTGGAGCGTGGTGGGATAAGGACCGGGTGCTCCCCTCTTTTCAGCATTGTGCATCGATTGAGAGCATCAGCCAGGACATGCACACATCATTATGGTGGCTAGGAAAGATGGTGTAAAGAGCTAAGTGAAACTTTTATAGTAATTCCTAAAACACTGGGGGGGGGGGTCTCGAATCTACGGACAGATATCATTAAGGCATAATGCAGGTTTCAGAGTACCAACAGGAAAATTGTTTTGAGCACTCCAAAGTCTCTGTATATATGCCTGTAATGTAGCACTTGGGGGATTAAGGCAGGAGGATCCTTCAAGTTTGACTACAGCCTGGCCTACAAAATAAGATTGTTGCAAAACAACAACAAAAATGACCTTTTCCTCAGGAACTCTAATTACAAACTCTTAACTACCTTATCTCTAAAATGTTCTTAAATATTTTTAAATCAATGCCAACAGAACCTACTATACCTGAATCAGACAAGTTAAAGATAAATAATGGTCTTTACCTTTTCTGGATTGTGGTGAACTGTCCTTTCCATTGTTTCCCAGGAATACTACAAAAAAAAAAAAAAAAGATTACAAAAATCAAATTATCACAAAGTTAAAATTCCTATTCAACCTGGCTGGCTGTGGTGGCACACACCTTTAATCCCAGCACTCAGGAGGCAGAGGCCTTCAGAGCTCTGTGTGTTCCAGGCCAGGTGGGGCTACAGGGAGACCTGTCACTGTATTTAGATACTGTCAGGAAGAGCTCTGAGGCATTCAGAACACTTCCTGATGAAGGCTTCTTACAATAGTGGCTGCAAGGTGTGACGGGGTGAAAGATCTTCCTTTCGGTTCTCCTCCTGACATCCAACCCTCTTCTTCAAGTCTAAATCTACCTTCACCAACAGTATACAGAAAGAAGATGTCACCTCTAAATCAGACTCAACTTTAATACTAATCTAACTTGGAGCCATCCAAACATTTATTTACTCAATCAACTTGTCCTTTGCTCTTACATATTGCTTCCTATTAATTCTGTGGCCTTTTCTCCTTCCCCAATTAATTCAGGACCTCATGAACCCTCACCCAATTCTAAAATTACATTCAAACAAATATCCCTATTTTCCATTTTAATCATTCTCTCATCAACTCTTTTTACTGTTTTAGCAACTACTTTTTTAAAAATTATTTTTTAATATTTA